AAAAATATAATAAAAGGAAAAAAGAAATCACTGTTCAATTGAATCTAATCTAGTTTTTTTTTAAGCAGTATGATGAAATGAGAATTCGTGATATTTAAGTTGTTAATGAATTTGACATAGTTGGATTTTGAAGAAAATTCATACGATGCTTTTGTGAACGAGTATCTAACACCTAAGAAATAAATAAAAATTAATAAGACAAATATGAATGATAAATAATTCTACATACTAATTTTTGTAATTCGGCCAATTCTACTGATAACGTTTTGATTGCTTTATTGGCATCTTCCATTTGATTTTTTAATATTCGATTTTCTGTTTCTTCTTTTTTATCATCCTGCATATCTAATGACATTGTACGCATACGTGGAAACCAATCAAGATTACGTTGCTAAAAGTAGACATGATTTATTAAACTCCAAACAAACATGAACAAGTATACACACACACACACACACACACACACACACACACACACACACACACACACACACACACACGCACAACATACTTCAATCATTTCATGTACGTATGACTCTGGTCCCGTATATTCAGTTGGATCTTTAACTTTAATTAAAACCATAAAATAAACATAATTCCACATATTATGAACTTTCCGAATATGATCTTCAAATGTCACATGTTTATTATCAAATGATTTACGATCAAGACCTAAAATCAAACACAATGAGAAATGTTCATTCTACTAAATAGTTGAATACGTGGTACACTGTACATACCGCATATAAAACATGTATTTCGTAATATTTCATCATTTCGTTGTTTTTCTGTTCTTAAATCTGCAAAATTATCGATAATAACACCAAATATCAAGTTTAATGTGATGATAATAACAATGAAGAAAAACATCATATCGTAGATGACGCGAAAAAAATACAATGGTTCCTAAAATCACAGTATTCTATCTAGTGCTAAATCATCAAGAAACTTGCAATTATTCTACCTGACTTGATGGTTGCCTCAATACATCTCCAATTCCTCCTCCATTTCTTAAACCTTTATTTAATGTTGTTACTATACACATAAATAGAGTATCACAGGATCTTTCAACTGCTTCAGTTTCTTCCGATGATGCATTTGTTAATGTACCTAAACAGACGATAGATCTCAGTTACACTGTGTATTTATTAAATAAAAATGACATACTTTGGGTATCATTAACACAATTATCTTTTGTACAATAATCATGTAAAGCACTTGGAATGGTTGAAGCTAAAATAAAAAACAAAAATTCCTTGTCAATTCTGTGTCACAAAAAGAAAAAAGAAAGACATTAAAACAACATTTAGAGTACAATTATGACAAAATACAAAGTAGAGAATAATAGTTATATGCTCAAATGAAAAAAAAATTATTTGGTCTTGAAAAGTACAACATTATCAACACAACACATGATGGCATATTTCAGTAACTTTCTATACATTGAATATAGATTTGGGAAATAAGGCAAATCAACTTTCAATGTTAACGTTGTACGAGCAAAGGTGTAAAGAACAAATTAATTTGATAATTTCTAATTGTCCTCTGTATCGATAATAGTTTTTTTTTTTATCATATGTTCAAATAAAATTGAAACTGATATAAAATCTTTGTCTAATTCAAAATCTCGAAATTCTCTTTTATACAATTACAAACGAACAACATTGAGAACAACATTTATGACATAGAAACATACACATCGTTTGTCTATGTTGATGTTGAGACAGAAACGACGTTGTTCTATGTCTCTTAAACGTTCCTGTTGTTTTTCTCTCTCGTATATGTGTTAAAAAATCATCACGGAAAAAAACAAAGCCAACTAATGAAAATAAATAGATTAAAATCAAAGCAAGAATCATTGTTAATAATATCGATTTTCCATTACGTGTCACAGATTGTGTCACTTGTAGTAATGTTGAATCACGAAATATCATATCTAATAACTATGGATAGAATAAATGAAAAAGAAAAAGATAGTAAAAAAAAACAACAACTTGTCGTTATACATTTTTAATTCTAAGAATTTCTCCTCCATTAGTAAAATTAATTACACTCTACATTCGTTACTTACACAATGTGTTTGTGATATTAACTAACATGGAAGAAACAACTGTTGCTGATAAAGTAGTGTTAGAAATAGGTGTAGATGGAGTTGTAGTTAAAGCTGCTAACAGATTGGAATTATTTTGTGTTTTAGGAGCAACTTCCATAAGAAAATCATCTTGTATAAATAAATAGCCACAAATAGCAAATAAATAAATGATAATAACAGCGAATACAGCTGTCAATATAACAGATTTTGCATTGCGTACAACACATTGAATGACATTCCACAATGTATCTTCACGATAGACAACATCAAGCAACTAAAACACATAAACAACATATAAAAAGAATGACAAAAAAAGAAAAAAAATCTAACAAAAATACAAATAAGCTACTAAGTGGAGCAAATGATTTTAGATATCTAATATTTAAATGTATAAGATACTAATTGAGCTAGTACAAAGAGTATAGGTATTCTAGTGCTTACATGAGACAAAAATTATCATAACAGATACAACCATTAGAAGAAAGTGATACAAAATTATTTGACTGTAGTGAGTGAACATAGCAAAGTTCATGGTGAAATTTTGTTTTGAAAATTATACTATTTTGGTGAAACCAACATTAATATAGTAACATACCAGGAGACTATAAAAGAATTCATGGGCACAAAGACCAAGTACACATAAAATAAGATATCCAACATGATAAACAAGTTCAAAATTTGTTAAATTTTCATAACGTGACCTTGAAAATGTTCCATTATTACCCATAAAACTAACCAAAAATACACCTTTATTTAATACCTAGTAAAAGTGAAAAAAAAACAAAAAAAAATTGTTGTTATTATTTCTCTTTATAGAAATTACTTACATTAATAGCTCCCATTAACCATAGAGTTGGTCCAAGTCCAACAGAATAAATTGATCTCAAAATTCCAGCAACAAAAAACATTCTCATTGAACCAACACTCGGTTTCATTAATATGGCAATAAATGTTACTAAAAGTGCACCCCAAATAGTAGCTGATGCACGAAGATCGAGATCTGAACAAAATAAATGAGAGAATTTCAAATATATTTTTATATATTTCATAGAACTTGATTAATACCCTTTAATCCTTTATTAAATGGATAAAATACTGCCACAAGAATATTAATAAGTACGGCAAAATTAAATGATATATCACTCCATAGACTCATATGTGAACTAAACCAGTATAATGTTGGTTGATGTCGAAGTTTTCGTTGCCATTTCATTTCTTCAAATATTTCAGGAAATTTTTCAAAAAAATCTTTTACTTTAGATCCTTGTTCATCTTGTTCACATGTTAAAAAAACTTTTTGTTTTTTTTCAACTGTTAAAAATTCACATAATTGAGGAACGGGAAATACGACTAGAAAAATAATAAAAAAAAAAAATAAAATAAAATAATAAAAAATATTGTATAAATTAGAGTTATACTTGGTTCAATTGATCGATCATGACGAATAATTTCAATTTCAGCTGTATGTTTATGATAGTAGGATAGAGCTTCATCATTCAATGTACGATGACGCATTAATATTTCTAATTCACGATTATGACGAGCAAGCTAAAGAAAATAGAATAGATATTTAGAATTATGTATTAAATTCGAGTTCATTTTTGTGTTCAATTGTTTGACATGTTTAAAAATGAACAGGACATTCGAATGTTTAATTGAGAGCGCATGCTAAAGCATCAGATTATATTTTCATGTTGTTCTATCACTAATAATGAATGATTTCTTTACAATAGTTATTTATCAAAATTGAAAAATGAATGCATCTTTGAGTTAAAAAAAAAAAGAACAGACAATATTAATACTATTTTAGAAATTCTATTCTGACTATAAATTACTCAAAGATTATATTAAATAGATATTAATCATCTGGAAGATATAAATTTTCTATATGCTTATTCGTATGTTAATGAATAATATCAGAAAATTTTTGAACATGCAATCAAAAACGTTCATGCGTCTTGATTAATGGACGTTTGAATGACCAACATTTGAGCAATCTCTTATTACAACAAGATCCTTATATGCTGCCACAATTTTGAGCTTCTTTAAACTCATTCACTTGCTTCAGTTATACTTGCAGTTGTTAAAAATGACTTTGTATATCAAATATTTTCTTTTCACTATAACATTTTGTCGAACTACGTTTTATCGCATAGATTTGAAGTGTTCTCTCTCATTCATGCTTACTGTTCTCACTTTCTCCCCTCCAGATTCCTGAACCCGTAAAATTTTTCTTTAGCCCGAGCCCCCGAATTCCACGAAAAAATTATTTTGTCCCGAAAAGGGAACAACGGGCTTCTCCGTACCGTTTACTCCGTATATTTAAACCGATAGAAAATACATCTGTTAGATTTGGATGAGGGATGTGATTTTTTCCTTTTGTCCCGAGCCCGCGAGCCCGAACCCAGAAAAATATAATTTGTCCCAAACCCTTAACTTTTCTTTTGTCCCGATCTCGTCTGTCCCACGGCATTTTATAGGATTTGGGGCTATCACGCAGGAGCCTACTCCCTTGATAAGAAGCGCAAAAACAAATTATTCGATTTCGTTGATCGCAAGAAACATCACATGGAAAAGTGTCAAGTATCGGTCGCTCAAATGTTGGTTGACATCATCAACTTGACGATACATTCTCATAAGACTACTATACAAATAACTAAAATTACAGATATTAAATATGGTGTACAGGTCCTTCTCTATAGTCTCTTATTAGTTATTAGACAGATCAAATAAATTCACCATTTTAGTTTCAAAACATTACTAGCAAACGATAAGCAGAAATATATAATCGAAAAAATATTTACTATTTTGCCTCATTCCTAAGTAATCTTGTGAAAAAAATATCAATGATCTATTGTATTTTGCTTATATTTTCTGTTTTGATTTGTTTGACAAATGTTTAATAGTAAAAAAGAAGAAAACAATCTGAAGAAAATATTCAACTGACATAAAAAAAAATGAGACAGACCTTACTAATAAATGATCACTAACCTGATATGCTAATATATACATATTATGTCCAACTGTTTGACCAACATTATCGTTATTATCCGCATCTTCATCATGCATCTCATCTGTTGTATTTGTACCACCGCCATTTTCAATATCTCTTCCTTTCAAATGAATTTCTTCTTGTTTACCACGAGAATATATTTCACATGCAACATCGAGCTTAAACATAGTATGTATAATAGATTATAGATATATTCTATAATTGATTAATTCTCTTACTTACCAACTGTGAAACGGGTACAATATTTCTTAATATTCTTTCAGCATTTGTACTATCATCACGACTTTCCATAACAGCTAATAATAACTTAGAGGCATTATCCTACAATGAACATTATTCTAATAAATTTAAAAATATAATGTAGAAAAAACTCAAATAGACCTTCAATTCTAATACAAGATCATAGTTTTTTTGATTTAATGGACTAATATCATTTAACACAATGGCGATAATGATATCGATGCCGTTTGATTCATGATTGACAATAGCATCCTTAATAGAAAGAAAATAACAGTAGTGACATATACACAGACAGAGTAACACATGCAGTCTGACCCGTTTCTTACTTGATTATCATGACATGGTCCTTGACAATATTCTGTTAGTGTGTTTAATGCTTGATTAATTAATTCTACATTATCTTCGTTTATATAACTGCCTAATAGGCCTAATAGGCCCGTCTGCGACCCACAAATGGCATCGAGAAATTTTAATGTTTCACATACCAAATTAAAATTGGTTTTGTTGTCTTGAATACGTAAATAGTTCTGAAATAGACATAAAAGAAATTGTAAAAATCATGTGAAGATTTTTTTGTAACATAAAATTAGAATAGAAACAGAATTTTGAGTTATTTTCGGACACAGTGAGGTAATTGGATATTTGATAGACAGTTAGTGATAAAAAAAAAAGGTTTCGGCATAAAAGGCATTCGCTAGTGAAAAAAGACGAAAATTTTGATAGCTCAAAAAGTTTTTTAGGGTGAGAAAATCATCACTCTAACCTATGGGAAAAAAACCCTACGTTTCGTCTGATAAAAACACGTATTTTTGCATTTTCAACGCGAGATCACGAAGGAAAAATTTCTCAGATGTTTTAGAAAAAACACACAACATTGTTTTCTTTCTTTCTAGCGAGATGTTCCAAGGTTTTTTAGCGGGTACTTCATATTTTCTAAAATAACTCTTTTCAGACCAAAACTTAGCCGTACAGTCGCGTTTTCATTTTAATACTAACCCTCGCTAAACCGGATGAACACACAAGTTAAGTTTAATCCAAATTTTAGATGAAACATTTTATTTTTTGAAGATTTTCTCCCTGAATTTTGAAAACTTCAGTGTATAACTTCGAAAAGGTCTTTTTTTTTAAACAAACTTTTTAACGTGTAGCTAAAGAGTTGTGCTTTTGTGTGTCTCAAAGTAAGGTGTTCATCTATTTAGCGGGAATTAGTATTAAAATAAAAACGCGACTGTACAGCTAATTTCTTGGTCTAAAAAGAGTTTATTTTAGAAAATATGAAGAGTCCGTTAAAAGGACTTGGAACATCTCGCTAGAAAGAAAAAAAACAATATTGTGCGTTTTTTCTAAAACATCTGAGAAATTTTTCCTTCGTGATCTCACGCAGAAAATGTAAAAACACGCGTTTTTATCAAACGAAGCGCAGAATATTTTCACGAGTTTTTTCAGTGAGTAAGTGACAAACATTGAATGAAAACTAACCAATAAAGAAGACCTTTTTCACTATTATTTGATGAAATTTTACCTGAAATTCTGCATTATGATTTTCACATAACAGTTGTAAAAATCTTAATATTGGCTGCATAATTCGCACTTCAAATGGTAACTTATATCGACGATTATCTTTTTGAAGAAATGACGAACTAAAACATATTTGAATAATAATTCCTAAACTTTGACACATTAAATCTAATTGATACTTACGAAAAATCGAATATATCATAGATGCCAGATGTGTGTGGTTTATTCGCTGATTCATCTTGAGCTATGGTAGAATGAGCAATTAACATTTTTGGATCGCCAAGAGGTTCATCAACACTAAATTCACTCGCATTGGCTAAAATAAGACAAAAAAAAAGAAGCAGTTCAAGACCATCACGGATATATAAATTATTTAACATACCAATTCCATTTGTTAGAGTCATTTCATTTGCGCCCGGCATAGGTGTTGGTTCACGCTCAAAATTTTGAATGGACATTGATTTTCTAACGGATGTTGGTGAATTTACAGTAATAGGACTTGACGGTGAAGATTTATATGGAGAATAGAGAACGAAATCATCGTGATCATCATATTCGCCACTCGAATCAGGCGGTAATGATGGCATACTTTTCAATGTTTTTTGAGCTATATACATTTTATCATAAAATACTTGAAAGAATTTTTCCGATGTAAATTCACTATTGTGTAAATGACGAAATATACTCAACTAGAATACAAGAAAAGAATATAATTCAAAAAGATGTTATGTTTCTTTTTTGTTGTTCGTTGTTTTCAATTAAAACCACCTACTTGAACTTCTGTATTGCCACCTTCTAATAATGCAATAGCCAAATTGACACTTTCTTCCAAAATATTCACTGGTGATTCACTCATAAATAATTCTACCACTAGATCACTCGCACCTTGTTTATTCAATTCATTTTGAGTAGAACGTAAACGTTCCATAGCATCTTCTTCTGGAAAAATAAAATAGAATCATTTTGTTAATTTATGTTAAACACAAAATTGAAGTTGCATGCTACTCGACAGATCATTTATAATAGATAAAATCAGGCAAAAATAAATGACGAGAAAGACGCTTGATCAACCTTGACTTTATGCCTTTATTGAGTTTTTCAATAAGTTTTCCGAAATCTGGCCTCTAGAAATCCATGATAGATCAAAGAATCAAGAGATTCTGATTCGATCAATTTGTGTACTGCTCATCAAGTTTCTTCAATGGAAACATTTTTAGAAATATCAAATAAATTTTAATTCAGTTAGAAAAATATTCTAAAAACCTTTTTCCACAGAGAAAACTCGATGAGTAGTAAAAACTGACCAGAATCAGAATCGCTTAATTCTTATATTCATCATGGGTCTCTAGAGACCAAACTTCTGAAGACTCATTCAAAAACTCAATAAGAGTACAAAAAACGGCCATCAGATTCGTGATCAACATTATGATTAAGAATCCCGTTAGAAAAAATAAACTTTAATTCGAAAAGCTTTGGATCATTCGAGAGGATTCTCTCATCATGCATATGTACAATAAACACACCGTGTTCTAGTAGCACATCTGGCAACTAAGATTTTGAAATTTTGAATGTAGTTTGATCCTGAGCTTATATCTTGATAAGAAGATATAAAAACTCAAGAAATTCCAAGAAGTCAAAATCTTGAAATTTGTTGATTTTTCTTGTGCAGAAAATCTTGATAATTCTTCTATCACAGTTTTGTTTATCGTCTTGTTTACATATCCATGCAAAAAAATTTCCTTTCTTTAGATATAGTTATTCAAGGATGAGACTATATCTATAGCTGTCATATATGAGAGAAAAATGGATACAAAATTTTCACTCAAGATCTTGAAATTTCTATTCAGAAGATCTTGACTACAAGAATTTTTCACTGATGTGTACAATAAATTTTACCTTTTAACGGTTGATGAAGTGATTTTAAATATTGTCTATCATCACTAAAATAACGTCGTAATAGTTTTGCTCTTAAACTTTGACCCTAAATAGAAAATTGTATGCAGATAATCTGCTGATTTTTCTGACATTGATTGTTCACCGTATACCATAACAATAAAAGAAAATATATTAGATATGTGTATTTAAAAGCTGTTCAGTAAAAGAAAATGACTACTAATAATTTGAATAGATAGATTTTTATGGCTGTGTATGTTTGTGCATTTATCATACCCTATTTTCAAATTCACTTTTTGTTTTGACCATTGTTTTTAATGCATGCATTATTTTCAAACATAAAGTTTCATCTGTTTGAGTAAGCAGATATTTTGCATGCTGTACCAATCTAAATATTCAAGAAAGCAACGAAAAAATAATAAAAAATATAATATAACAAGCTATTTGTTCCGGATATATGTGAGTGTGTGTGTGTGTGTTTATATGCAAATATAGCATGTGATCATAACTTTTATCGATATAGATTTCTTGTTCGATGCACATGCGCGTGATAATTAATAACAGATTTTTTTTGATTTTTTTGTTTAATTATTTTCATTAACTATGACTGATACTTTCAACCAAATATTTTCAAGCTAGCGACGAAAAATAATGAACTTGGGAGACTTTAATAAGAAAAGTGTGATCAAAATGATACTGCTTTTTTTTTTGTCTCCCTACGTTATTTTTTTTTTCTTTTTGTTTAAACTAAACAGTAGTAAAAAATAACTCTAATAAACTACGTAGCAGCATAATTACAAATATTTATCATCTATCCCCATTTAATTATAAAAATATTAAAGTATTTTTTTCTAAACGCGGTGTATAACTACAAAATAATGCGTCCAAAAAAACAATAATATAGACAATGAGGCAAGCAATTATATCAATGGTTACTAGCGCTCGTTTCATCCTATATGCGCGTGTATATATGTTACCTCCTCATTGGGCACACGTTCAAGTCCCGCATACATAATAAGTAAACCTAATACATTAGAACTTAATTGTGGATCATATTTGGCAATTAATATAAGCATTGTATGTATAATTAGTCTAGAATGGATTGGGTTTTTGTTTCACGTGATATTTTGTTTTTCTCTATTTTTTTTTTTTTTTTTTGTTTTGAAGAAATGTTATTCTACATACTTGTGAACAAATGCTCCATTTTGAAATTTAATTCGACATTCATTTGTTTCATTAAATAGAGCATAGGGTGCTCGTATTACATCAACTAATACACTAACTTCAGCTTGAATTAATGGATTTAAACGAATACCAACTTGACCAAGATATTCCTAAAAATAGATAAATAATTTCTATAATGTATAAAATTAATGATTTTAACTTTTTCTAGATATCATACCACAAAATTATCAATAACTCGTTTATGTTCTTTATCTTGTAAATGTTCATGTTTTGATTTATTACCATATGTTGAACTTATACCTGCATATGTATGCTCAACACTATGCGATGCAGTTCGAGATGAACGACGTTGACGAGACATTTCCACAGCTTGATGTTGTGAACGTAAATGTTGACTTAGACCACGACGATCAGCTGAAGAAAATTAAAAAAAAAAGAAGAGATAGATATAGTTTTTATAAATTTATTTTCTTATTTGTTTGTTTATTTACCAATGCTCGATAAAATATGTATACATCGATCAATTCTTTCACGTTGAATCGTTGTTAACCACGATACAGTTAGAAGACGAACAAGATGACCATGTAATGCTAATAGTGTACCATTACGATTCTAAATAGAAGAAAAAATATATTCAAAATTTGATTAAAAAACATTTCATTTATTATTCAATAAAAATAAAGAAAAAAATATCCAGTAAAAAAAAATCGAAACTATTGCGATATTACTTTTAAAAATGGACAAATTAACATTTAAGAGATACACATAATTTTTGTTCATATTAAATATAAAATTGGATAAGAACATAGATTTTTTTTGTTTGTTTATTTATTAAAGTTTTCAAGATTCTAAAAACAACAATAACAATCTATGTTCTTAATTATTTTTATGTTACTGGACATTTTTTTTCTGAATGTAAGAAACAAACAAATAGAAAAACGTTCTTTTGATTAAAAGATGAAATATATCGATGTTTAAAAGCGATTCGGTGAGCCAAAACATTATGTATGAGCATGCGCACTAATCAAGATTTATTTTTTGTCATTATTAGACATTATTAAGCTTGTTGAAGCCTTCAAATAAATAGCTAAGGATAATGAATCAATCAGACGATGCGCGTTGAAACTCAATAATTATTAAAAAAAAGTAAAAAGAAACACAATTGCAAACATTAATGTTTACCTTCAATTCGTCGTTATCTAGAAGCTATAGAGCAATAAAATGTAGAGAGAGAGAAAAGGAGGGAAAAATAATTTCGATTTTTCAAAGATAGATCAGTGAAATATTGTAAAAAATAACAACAAGTTTTACTTAATATTATTTGAAACTGACATGCAACAAAACTAACCTAATAGTATGAAAAATTATTCGACATTTTAGTATTAGACAACGTTTTCTTATAGTTTTTTTTTTTAGAAAATTGATTTTTCAATTGTAATATATCTAACAAAATAGAAGAAAAAAATAAATGATAACATTTTACCATGCAGCATCGATATTAGAAACGTGTTAGTTATTTTTTCCTATTAAGTACCTCCCAAAAAGCAATAATAGATGGAGCTATTTCATCATATCTATGATCCTCAAGCATAAAATGTGCCTATAAAAATGTAGATAAAATAGAGGAAGAAAAAAATAAAAAACAATTCAATAACATTAATCACTAACTTTTAGTTTAGAAAATAAAAAAAAAAGGGTCAATAATATATATTAATAATAATTGTACTTACTTGTGGTGCAGCTGATTGTTCAAAAAAAGGTGAATTAAAAAATTGTGTTATTAAATCACAAACAGTTTCTAATATATATTTTTCTAGACTACGTCGTTCATATGGTTTGGTGATTAACTAAAATAAAAATAAATATAAAAATATAAAAAACATGATCTAAATTTAATATACGAATAATTTACATGTTCAATATCTGGATTAAATGTTTTTTCAATAAGTGTATAAATATGTTGACTATTATAAATTTCTTTCATTTCTACTTCTGTATCAATATAACAATGATTTAAAAATGTAATATAAGCATTTTTTACTTCTGGTACACAATCAGGATGAGTAACAATTAAAACAATATCATCAAGACCAATAAGTGAATGACATTTAATTTCTGTTGATGCATTTTTTCCTTCAGTACACATAGCTAATAGTAATACAAGTTGAACATGATAATTTAATAATGAATTTGGATCTTGACGTTCACTTTCCGATTTCATACGTTCAACTAAATCCATTAAATTTGATTTTTCATAAAACATAAATACTTCATCCGAACTGACCAACTAAAAGTAAAACAACAAAAATGTTAAGCATAAGGATTATTTAGTGTCAAATACATGACTCTCTAGGCCATCTATTCTCATTAAAGAAATTAACCTAAGAATGAGATCATTATCCGTGACTGTCGTCACTGAAACGTATAACAGTAATAATACAAACGTTATCGATGCTTGTAAAGTATCGATTTTCTGCATCATTTTTTCTCTCAGACAGAGATGTTCTTCAAACAAAAAAAAATAACAAATATAGAATACAATTCTTTATCAGGTTTTATCATATTTCTAATAAATACTAGATCTCTTCGTAGAGTTAATTATATCATCTAAAATTTATTATGATTTCTACCAAATTTGAAACTGACAAGTCGTACATTTTATATACAGATTTGGTACTATTATCTCTTAATCAATTAAAAAACATTTATGTGAGTATATTGAATGTTTCTTATTTTTAAATAAAAGTTAAATTTTTATAGATTTGAAAGTAGAATGTCAGAAGGAAACGACGACTAACTGTTGCATTTTCAAAGTAACGATCAATATTTTCACTACCACAGTTTGGAGAAAAAAAACTGCCTGTTATCCCTTCAACTTTTTTTTCATCGTTCTGTTTTCGTCATTTTCTAAGGTGCAGGAAATGCAAAAGGTAAGCAAAAAATTGTTTTGGCCGAATCATACATGGTTGGAGAGAACTCGACGAGGAGATTCCGAATATTTAAGATTTTTAATTTTCTA